CTCCCTCTGTGGAGTGTAAACTCTAAGTAACTTTAGCCCTAAAGTTACCTCTAAGGCCATGCAAATACGTTGATTTCTAATTATGGACGGAGGGAAGGGAAATTTGTTAATCAGGCAAAGGAGGTGAAAGGGAGAGAGACAGAAGTTAGGGTCCAGGAGATTTAGAGAGAACACGTGAAGATTTGGGTGGGGTAGGTTTGTGGCAAATGGGCCCAACCATCACTTCGGCGGATGAAAACAGAGGATGTATTCATTCTTCCCCGTCCATGCAGCCTTCCCCAGGGCTGGGCCACGTTTCTCTGATCACGACTAGCCCACCCAGAGCCCCAGCTGCAGAGAGATCACGTTATGCAAAGCATCCGAACAATGTTCTTAATAACTGAAATAGTTCAGTTGGCAGAGCATTGGACTGAAGGTCTAAAGTTCCATGGTTAGATCTTGAGTTTCACCGAAATTATTTTCTTGTAGTCCTGTTCCCAGGGGTGTTTGACCGAGGACCCCCACCCCCTGTAGAAATGCATATTTCAGAGTGACAATGCTTGGTGAACAGGAATTGTACATCTTCCACATTTTACCCAAGGGATACCATGGGGTTCAGGGCCCTGCCCCAAAATATGGCACCCTGGCATGTGGTTATGTTAAACTGAAAGAGTTTGAGAAAATGGCAGAAGCAGGAAGGTCACTGACCTTCCTTCCCACCCCCCCCCCCCCACAAACAGGTAAAAACCCGTTAAGTGAGAGGCACCTTCTGTGTGTTGAGAGGAGCCCCCTTACCCGAGAAGACAGAGGGAAATCAGGAAGATTCCTAACACACGGCCTTGCGGAGGTTTCCCCAACTTACCACACTCACCCCTTTTCTCTGTCCTCTGTTTCCCCCGGGCCCTCCCCCGCCCCTTCGTCGAACCCAGCATAAAAATACTCAGGTTTCGCGGTTTCTAGGGTCTTCATTTCCCCGTGAAGGCTCCCGGGTGACCCAAAGTGACATTAAATGGATGTGTGTGTTTTCCTCCTGCTAATCTGCTTGTCCGTTCAGTTTCCAGACTGAGGCCCGACGACGGTCGCGTTTCCGTCCCCTGCACCCCCTCCCGGACATGAATGGGGGGTGGTCTCTGTGAGCCCATAACGCTGTGTCCGGAGGACCGGGAGGGGCTGGCGCCCACTCGGCCAACCGGGCGCCCCGCCGCGGGTCCGCGTCCGCAGGTCCAGCCCCCACAGGCGGGCGCCCCGGAGACGCCGGCGGAAGGCCGGGCGGCCAGGGGGCTTCCCGTTAACCCGCAGGGGAGGCGCCGCTGGAGAAGCCGGAGCCGTCGGAGCCGCGGGCGGGAGATGCTGCGGGAAGACCCCGCTCTGCCTCGGGTTTGTCCTAAGCAACGCGTCGTTTTCAAGGGACCAAAGCCACCCAGTCAACGGACAGTCCCTCCAGGCCGGACGCCCCCAGCCCTGCCGCCCCTCCTGTGGCCGTGCCCGAGCCCCGCTGCCCGTGCCCGAGGCCGCGAACGGGGCGGGGGCGTCGCGTCCGGGACCAGTCACGCTCGGAAGTCCCTCGTGTACGCGGGGGGCACGGAGACCCGGCGGCCGGCCTTTCTGGGGCCCCCGGGCCGCGCCCCGGGTGGGGCCCGGCAGCTGGCGGCCGCACCTGTCGGCGCCCGGACCCCGCCGCACCCCTGCGCCCCCGGCGGCCGGGTGTGCGCCCCGCCCGGGGTCCTGCGCCGCTCGCCCGCTGCGCCGTCGGGCCTGCGGCGCAAGGAGCCTCCCCGCCGCGCCGCGTACTCTTCGTGTGGAACGTGGCGGGGGCGGCCTCCCAGCCGGCCGCGTGGCCTAATGGATAAGGCGTCTGATTCCGGATCAGAAGATTGAGGGTTCGAGTCCCTTCGTGGTCGCTCTTTTCCTCCTGCTTCAAGCCCGGCGGGCGGCCTTTTCCTCCTCATTTAAGTGGCGGATGTCCGCGGGGTGACAGGTGCGAATGTCCTCCGGGGTCACAGGTGCCTCACAAATGAAGCAGTTGTGTCTTCAAGGAGCTTTCTTTCCAGTAGACCCGACAGGTGACATCAGGCGAACAGAAACACAGTGATCACAGTTTCTTGCATGGCCTGGGAAGGAGATGAGCGATGGGCTGAGATCAAGAGTCGGGTCGGGGCTTCCTCAGGTGGAGTGTTTCTGGAGGCACCGGGTCTTCCCCAAGCTGAACACTTTTGTTGGGGGAGGAAGGAAGGGTTCACTAAAAAATCAATGAAAGGGGGTAAGGTTGAGTTGCATTTCTGGGAGCAAGATCTCTGCCTGGGATTCCCTATGACTGTGGCTCTGAACATGGTTTGAACTCGGCGTTCCCCAGATTTCCACTAGCCGCCACAGAACCCCCCCCCCCCATAGTGATCCCAGAGAGAAGCCAACAAAGGCTTCTATCCCAGACCCGACTATCCTCCACATCAGCTCCTACTGATGTCCGATGGCTTCAGTTTCAGCAACAGAGCAAATGCTGTAAATGGGTCCGAACAGCACACAGGTTCCTCAAAAACGTTTAAAACGAGCGTTAAAAATATGATCAAGCAATTACACGCCTGGGTATGTATTCAGAAGAAGTGAAAGCAGAGTGTCAAAGACATGTTTAGACTATTCACAACAGCCAAGACGGGAAAGAAAGCCAAGTGTCCTTGGAAGGATAAATGGGTAAACAAAATGTGGTACTTAAACACAATGGAATGTCACCAAGTCTTAAAAAGGTCTTAAAGTCTTAAAAAGGAAGGAAATCTGGTTACAAGCTACCACATACCTAAACCTTGAGGACATTTTGTTAAGTGAAATAAGCCAGTCATCAAAAAGACAAATGCCGTATGATTCCACTTATATAAAGTATCTAAAGTAATCAAATTCAGGGGGCACCTGGGCGGCTCAGTCTGTGGAGAGTCTGACCCTCAATTTTGGCTCAGGTCATGATCTCCCGGATAGTGACTTTGAGCCCCATGTTGGGCTCAGCGCTGACAGCATGGAGCCTCCTTGAGATTCTCTCTCCTTCTCTTCCACCTTTATTCATTTATTTCTTAAATTCCACATAGGAGTAAAATCATATGGTATTTGTCTTTCTCTGACTTATTTAGCTTAGTATAATACTTTCTAGCTCCATCTAGGTCATTGCAAACAGCAAGATTTCATTCTTTTTGATGGCTGAGTAATATTTTATTGTATATACATACCACATATCCTCTATCCATTCATCTATCAACAGGCACTTGGGCTGCTTCCATAATTGGGCTATTGTAAATAATACTATGATAAATACAGGGGTGCATATATCCCTTTGAATTAGTGTTTTTATGTTTTTTGGGTAAATACTCAGTAGTGTAATTAATTACTGGATCATAGGGTAGCTCTAGTCTTAACTTTTTGAGGAACTGCCATACTGTTTTCCACAGTGGTTGCACCAGTTTGTGTTCACACAGTGTACAAAGGTTCCCTTTTCTCCATGTCCTTAACAACATTTGTTGTTTCTGCATTTTTTAGTCATTCTGACAACTGTGAGGTGGTATCTCATTGTGATTTTGATTTTGTATTTCCCTGATGATGAGTGACGTTGAGCATCTTTTCATGTGTCTGTTAGCCATATGGATGTTTTTGGGGAAATGTCTACTCATGTCGTCTGCCCATTTTTTTACTTGGATTATTTGTTTTTTAGTCTGGACTCTAAATTGTATTCCATTGGTCAGTATGTCTGTCCTTACGTCAGTACCACATACTGGTACATATTGGTTACCTTAACCTTTACTGAGCCTTGAATTCTTGAAATTTTCGTTCTTGAATTCTCTACTAAAGGAGCCTGGCCTAGTGGCACTTGGGTGGCTCAGATGGTTAAGCATCTTGATTTCGGCTCAGGTCATGATCTCACCGTTGATAACATTGCCCCCATGTTGGGCTCTGTGCTAACAGCAGAGTCTGCTTGGGATTCTCTCTCTCTCTCTCTCTCTCTCTTTCTCTCTCTCTCTCTCTCTCTCTCTCCCTCCCTCCCTCCCTCGCTCTCTGCCCCTCCCTGGCTGGAATTCTCCCTTTCTGTCTCAAAATAAATAAACTTAAAAAAAAAGAAAGAAAGAAATCTGGTCTAATGATTCAGAGAGAAATCATTTGGATACTTGTACTGTGGTTTTCCCAGGAGTCTTCCACTGCCAGAGCAGACCTACTTTGTTTACATTAACTCAACAACCATGTGGCCTTGCCTAAGTCCATTGGATTAATTTACAGGCAAGGTGCTCTGTGTAAGACCCAAGGAAATAGAGAAAACTGATCTGGGGTTGAATGCTGGGGACAGCGAAGTGATGGCCCCCAGGGAGAATTACTACTATTTCTTTCAAAATCCAGAGGTGCCTGGGTGGCTCAGTCGGTTAAGTGTCCAACTTTGGCTCAGATCATGATCACACGGTTCATGGGTTTGAGCCCCGCATTGGGCTCTGTGTTGACAGCTAGCTCAGAGCCTGGGGCCTGCTTCAGATTCTGTATCTCCATCTCTGACCCTCTCGTGTTCACGCTGTTTCTCTCTCTCTCAGAAATAAATAAAACATTTTTTAAAAATTCAAAATGCATGGGTTCTCCTAAAGCACCGTCCACTTACTCTTTCTAAACTTTCATTCTGCCAAAAGGTCTGTTCTTGTAAAGGATAAAGAGGGGCACCTGGCTGGCTCAATTGGAAAGCGTGTGACTCTTTATCTTGGGGTTGTGGGTTCAAGCACCAAGTTGGGTGCCAGAAGTTGATTGATAGATAGATAGATAGATAGATAGATAGATGATAGATAGATAGATAGATAAAGAGAATGAAGAAGGGGTGAGATGGAGGAAAGTTGAAAGGCTCTATCAGTAGAGAATTACTGCGTTTTAAATACAAACACCAAAAATGCATGTGATAATGTTTTCACACATCTGTAAGGAAAGGATAAAAAAGCAGACCATGCAACAAGTTTCTACAAAATTAGATACACTTAGTTTAAGTATTTTTATTCCTTTGTCGTGTTCTTTTTCAGTTCTGATATTTAAAATGTTTTTTCTTTTGCTTTGATACTTTAGATGTTAATGATTATAATTTTAAAAAGGTATAATCTCAGACCAACAGCTTTATATTTAGCTAAAAATATCATATCCTATTGAAAATAATTGGTTGCAAAGTAGTCTCAGATTACACAGAACAAAAGGCGTTCAAAACAAAGGTCATTTGGGGTAAAACTAAGGGCCCAACCTTCTGCCCTTTTGGAGATTTTCATCGTATAAAATGACTTCAAGTATTGTCCAGTATTTGTCTTTTCAATGTCCACACACAGTATTATAAATAAAATATTATATGTAACTGCATTTTGCTACTGAGGCAACCCTGAGTCTACAGCTAGACTGAGCTTTCCTGTGGGCAGGGAAGTTTTATTTGTAGTAAGTTTGTACTGAATGAGATTATAGTTAAGCTGCGAAGGGTCAGATTTCATACAAGCAGGTAAGAAGAAGTTTCCAAAGATTTAGAACAAGTATCTAAGGGGATGACAGCTCAGTGTGCGGATGAGCTGGGACAATGAAGTACAGGAGCTGAGAGGAATCGACATTGAAGATGGAGCTAAACAGGGATCTTGTGGCCCCCCTGCAAGGTGGGGAGGAAGAGACAGGATTCAAACACCAGGAGAGGAGTAAATCTCAGGACCAGAGTTAGATGCATGGCAGGAAACACGAACGTGTATCGGTACTATTTTCTGGGTCTTACGCTCAACGCTGATAATTTGAGGATGAATGAAAGTAAGTCATGATTCCTTCTTCAAGGACGTTAACCTAGAGAGGAGGAGAGCCACGTGAGGTTATGATGGTAACACCACAGGGTGCTCTGGGGGAGACAGGAGGGTGCAGAAGGGGCTTGCAGATCAGGCTGTGTGTGAGAGAGCCCGACAGTGGCACCTCGCACCCTCGCTTGCACAGACACGCTCAGCAGGTGGGGCGCGCGGGAGGGGTATTTCTGCAGCGCCTCCCAGAGGACTTGCACGGGTGGCCGCAGCCAGCAGGCCGAGCGAAGTCTCCCCACGCTTCTGTGTCCCCAGGCCCTGCTGGAGGGGCCACCGAGAAGGCTCACAGGGACAAGAGGACAAGGGGCTGCGAGCGAAGCTGTGTGGTGTGTCCTGCACCCTTATTTGCACCGCTGCGGGGGCTCGTGCAGCCGAGGCTTCTAACACCGGAACTCGTGCCGTCTGAACACGCAGGGGTGAGACGAGGCGGCGGCTTTGCCTGGAAAACAAGGGAGGCTGCCTCGGGACACTCACCTAAGCGGGGTTTCGTCAGGAAAGGACACCAGTGTCAGCGACAGCCGACGGTCGGCGCTCCCACGACGGGTAACGGCAGCACCGAGGCAAGCTCTCGTTTGCCACATTACAAGCCGTGACCTCCTTACAGACACAATTGGTCTACAATTCAGGTGAACACATGCAATCTTATCTCTTCACACCAGACAGAAGACAAACGCAGGCGTAGTGAACATTCTAAGAGTTGATGTGAGCACAAACGGACTTGAATCAGATGGCGCCAAGCCCGAAGGGCCAGGAAGGCCCCCAGCGGCTGGGGGAGAGCCGGACCAGAGCAGAAGTGAAGCGAGGACTGATTGGCCGTAGCCTGACGCCTCCTTGGGTTTCAATTTCACAACCTTGAGGCACCGACAGGCTTACACTTGGCTTTACTTGCAGGGGTGGCCACGGCATCAGAGCCACGTCAGCCCCGTGGCGTCCGTCTCTAATGGATTCATCCCACTACGTGGCATTAAAAGCACTGCGTCACTTTTGATAAAGAAAAGTGCACAGGTGAGCTCAGTCTTACTTGTAGCTTGAGCTTAATTTCATGAACAAACGTTAACTCACTGGGTTGGAAATATTCCCCATTCTTTAGTTCAGAGTTTTCCAAAAGGAATAGAACTAGCATTTTGGATGGAAAAATTCTTCCTTTACAGTCCATTACGGTGTATTCTCCTCTACACAACTGCCTGTACAATGTATAATATGTGTCAGATAAGACACTGTGACATGTAGAATTTCTGGACCCCACCCACAAAACCTAAGTGGCACCCCAAACGTATCCCAAATATACTTCCAAATGTAGAAGGTGGCAATGCTCTGACTTCAGAACCACTGCATATCAGCACAGATACGGCTGATTTACTGCTTTTGTTTCATGTGGCTTCTCCTGCAGTTTCTTTTTAATTAAAAGTTGGCTCCTGTTTGGAATCAAGATTGCTATTTCTTGGCTTCTTTTAAAAGAAGCATGGACGCCTGGGTGGCTCAGTCACTTGAGCGTCCGACTTCAGCCCAGGTCATGATCTCACGGTTGATGGGTCCAAGCCCAGCATCTGGCTCTGTGCTGACAGCATACAGCCTGCTTGGGATTCTCTCTCTCCCTGTCCCTCTGCCCCCAACTCCATCACTCCCACTTTCTCAAAAATAAAAATTAAAAAATAAATAGATAAAGTACAGTAATAAGTGAAGAAAGGCCATTTCACAAATAATTTGAGTACATTGACTATCTCCTGGGTAGAGGAAACCTTGAGACATTCAATGCTGTATCACAGTTTTATATAGAACAAGATATATATATAGTGACATTAACAAGTTGTTACCTTGGTAACAAACCCACTTGGGCAGGGTCTGGCCGCCCCAGGCCAGTACTGTGGCAACAGAACGGGCTCTCCAGACACCGGCTCTCAAGGCACATGTACACTCCTGTGTTTCACATCAGCAAACCCACACCACAGAGAGGCCGCTGTAAATCCAACGAGAGTGGGAAAGCTTCCATAATTACGCAAATCTTCTTAAACATGAAGAGAACATGTCAGGGAGACCAAAGGCCGTACCTGATGAGCAGGGCCCCCTGTGGCCACCCTTAGAGGCACTGAGGGCGAATACCATGAACATAATTGTGGAAGTCTTCAGGGCAGCCCCAGTCCTCACGCCAGTGTGTGCTTTTCCTTTTTCTTTCTTTTTTCTTGGGGGGGAGGGGTTGCTCATCGTGGATGGAGCATATCTTTTTCTGTGTGCCACACGCCCTACCCATCACTACCAAGTCACAGAGACAGAATATCAACTGCCACCCTATCTCCAGCTTGCATGGTGCATTTTAGTCACCTGATGAGACTCTAACTTGGCCTGAACTCACACCTGCAGATCAAGTCATGTGCTCTCCCAACTGAGCAGTGGGCGCCCCCAGCTTAGCCCTTATAGCACCTTTCAGCCATTTAATCTCTGACTCTTCCCCACTCTTCCCAGTCATATCCAGTGACTTCTAGTTTCAAGAAAGATCATCTTATCCCCCTCAACTGTGCCTTTCCATATTTGTTTTCTCTTCTGTCTTTTCTTAATTCTCATTCATCCTTCAGAAATTCAACTCAGATCAGGACCAGGACAGGGGTGAGGCAAGGGAGGCACTTAGGGTGCACAATTTAAGGAGGGATTCAGTTGGGGCGCCTGGGTAGCTTAGTCGGTTAAGCGTCCGACTTTCGCTTGGGTCATGATCTCGCGGTTTGTGGGTTTGAGCCCCGCGTCGGGCTCTGTGCTGACTGCCAGCTCAGAGCCTGGAGCCTGTTTCAGTCTGTGACTCCCTCTCTCTCTGACTCTCCCCTGCTCACGCTGTCTCTCTCTCTCTCTCTTAGAAATAAATTAAAAAAAAAAAAAAGGAGGGATTCAGTCTCTGGCGCCCTGGACATGTGCTTGTTGGACACTACCAAGCAGTTAGCTGAATCCTCACACAACCCTCCTGGTGGTATAAGCAAAATGTTAGAAAAGATTAAGAAATGTTACTCGATACTTCTAGAAATTCTCTTGGTTTTTAGGATGCCACAGTTATTTGTGTTACACACTGAATAGTGGCTTGCACCAAGCTTGCACTGTTCTGTGCTGTGTACCTGATGTAAATAAGATATTCTGGGAGGGACGAAGCGCACAGGAAAGTATGCAGGTACGATGCAATATGGTGGGTGCTCTGACTAAGGGGAGGGTTGGAGCCCTTGGGGCATCTAACTCTGAGACAGTCGACCAGAAAGCTCTATGGAGCACAGGCTGATTGGGCAGTCTTAAAACACAAGTCTGGATGGTTAGACAAAGGAAGGGCTGGGACGTAAGAACCTTCTGGATGGAATATATGCACAGAGTTACTGAGGCGTTCTGGAAATGGTCCTTTCGGACAACAGGTGTACAGACTGAGTAGGGAGGGGGAAGGAAACGAGACTGGAAGAGGAGTCTGGACATGAAGCGGGCAGTAGCCAGGCTCAAGAGCTGGGCTGTCAGCAGATGCTGAGCCGGCAGGTGATATCGGCTCTGTGGTGATGGCATGGAAGATGGAGGGTAGGGCTGGAGGTGGGGAGACGGGTTCCGAGGCCACACAAGCAGTCTAGGAGGGCTCCAAGGAGGTGGTGATCCAAGATGGAAGGAGGCAGAGACAAGTGTAAACATGTAAAGGGACTCAGGTAGAACACTTGCTGACCCACTGGCTACGGGGACCAGATGAGGTATAGAAGCTCCCAGGAAGTGACTGTCCTGCTTCTAACCAGAGGACTGACTTCCCTTTTACGTCTCTTAAATTGTCATTCCTTGAGCCTTCCTGTTCTTCTTTCTTTTTTTTTTAATGTTTTATTTATTTCTAGGAGAGAGAGAGACAGCATGAGCAGGGGAGGGTCAGAGAGAGAGGGAGTCACAGACTGAAACAGGCTCCAGGCTCCGAGCTGGCAGTAAGCACAGAGCCCGACGCGGGGCTCGATCCCACGAACTGCAAGATCATGACCTAAGCGAAAGTCGGACGCTTAACCGACTAAGCCACCCAGGCGCCCCTTGAGCCTTCCTGTTCTGACAGACTGTACCCCATGACCCATGGCACTTCTCTTTCTCTTGACTTGGCTGGCTCGCAAATCTTACAGCTTGATCTTTCTTGCCTATATATTCACAAACAGTCCTAATGTTGTTTAAGCTCAAGTTTGTACTTTGATGAAGGTCAAGAGCTCAGTTTCACTAGAATGTTCCATTTCCTTCACCCCGTTCAAAACCCAGTGATCATATTCTCCCAAATCAGCTTCTTTTCTCAATTTTTCCCTTGGAGACGGAACTGCTCCCTCCTGCAGCTGATAGCTGGAAATCCTTGCTTTAGGTCTTTCCCAGGTTCAAATTCTTGGACAAACACAATATCACAAGATAAGCTGGCAGTAGGGTCAAAAGCAGACTCCTTTCTGTAACACAGGGAAGATGAGGCAGCCATCCAGGAAGTCTGGGGAGCTGAGGCATCTCATCTCTGAGAGCAACGTGTGTGGGAATCATGTTCAGGGACAAAGCAAGAGTTGCTTCCAATAACAGGAAGGGTGATGGTGGAGGTGAGATAGTGATTTCTTGCTGTTATTACACTTGCCCCCCTGCCAAAGTCTTGTCTAGCTACACTGTATTTTCTTCAAAATTCTATCTTCCTTGGTGACGTCCGTGGCTCTAAGGGCCTTTTGTCTACCTTTCTACACTAACAACTAACGTTCCCTGCCTCCAGCTCACATGCCAGAGTCTTCAGATAGCAGTGACCCCTAGGAAGACAGCAATTCTCTCTCTTCTCTACAGAATGAGTAAGGGCCTGGACACCTCCTCCCCTGCCAAGCCCTGAGGTCACTGTCCCAAACATCGCTCTTGTACAGGCATTTCTCGCGACTTTCCTGAGAGCCCAGAAGATCCAGAATATAAAACCCTCTCCTTTGACCTGGTTACTATCAAAATAGGTTTAGAAACTGGAAATCTTACTCTTGGAAAAAATACTAAGACAGATTAATAAAAACTTATCAGCCCTTACAGTTTTTAGAGACAAATGAAAGAATTAAATGATGTATATGACACTCGAGAAAGCCGTGGACAAATAATCTAACAGAAAAAATAAGCAGAAAACCCAGATACACATGCTACAAGAGGAGATATCCAAAAGGCCAGTAGATACGTGAAAATGTGCTCATCGTCATTAGTATCAAGAAAGCATGTATTATAACTATAAAGAGATAATACTAGATACTATGGGAGTGGCTAAAAGTAAAAAGAAGATTGACAAAACCAAATACTAATGAGGCTGTAGAGGAAGTGGAACCATCTCTGGTAATATAACCACTCTGGAAGATTATGTGACAACTACTACTATAGTCAGGGACCCAGCCCTCCCACCATCAGGTGCACAGCCAGAAGTGTGTATACATGCACACCAACCGATGTCCCTAGTGGTAGTCTTCGCAATAGCTCCAAACCTGAAGCCACAAAGATCTTAGGTTCTTAATCTGCTATTTGTTGACTTATTTTTGCCACTCAACCATTTTGCTGATTTGTATTGAAAATTCATAGCTAGCAGCTCATGCCGGTCTAACTGCAAGTCGGGGCGAGGAGGGCAGGGACTGGCCATGATCACCCTCTCCTGAAGCACAGGGTCTCAAACATTCAACAAACTGGAGCAGACGTCCGGTGGACTGAACTGAGTTAAGGAAAGCCTCTGGGCTGGGAGCCTCCAGGACCAAGAACATTGTCTTATCACTGACAGAAATAGAGAAGTTGGGAAAAGGAGCTGGTTTAGATTAAAAGAGACTTATTCTCTTGAGTCCTGAGAAAATTTAGGAAGTTTGCTTTCAACAGTCTTCCCCTGAAGCCGTGCTTGGTTGTCAGGTTGGAAAAGGGTAAAGAAAGCAATGTCCGCACACAGCAGAATGAAAAGGGGAAGTACGTGGGGTGTCTGGGTGGCTCAGTTGGTTAAGCGTCTGACTTCAGCTCAGGTCATGATCTTGCAATTTGTGGGTTTGAGCCCCGTATCGGCCTCTGTGCTGACAGCTAGCTCAGAGCCTGGAGCCTCTTTCAGATTCTGTGTCTCCCTAACTCTCTGACCCTCCCCTGCTCATGCTCTCTCTCTCTCTCTCTCTCAGAAATAAATAGAACATAAGAAAAAAAAATTTTTAAGAGGAAGTATGTGACCATGTAAACAGTATGAATATCAAAGCAGGATTTGTGATAATGCAAATAATTTGCCTGGACAAGAGACTTCTTGCTGATGTTTACACTGAGATTTTTTTTTAATGCATTTTTATTTACTACATGATTATTGTAAGAACGATCAAGTGCATTTTTTAAAAGTAGGCTCTACACCCGATGTGGGGTGTTGTCATAGATTCTGGGTCTAAAGTTGTCCCTTGTCTTAGCAAGAGAGCGGGACACAGGATTACAATAGAAGAGAGATGGCTACTGTCCGGGAAAAGACAAGAGCCCTGAATAAGCGTCCTGGCTTTGTTTTTATTAGGATCAGAAGGCTTACAAACGTGATGGGCGTGCACAGAGACAATGAATCAGTGAACATCAACTCACGGGCATGAGGGAAGGGGGTTTTGAAGATATATAGTGTTTGGGGTTTGGGTCAATATAAAACAAAATCCTGGCACTGGGAAGATGGTTGTTAACAGCAGGCAGGAGGCGCTGTGTCTTTTTATCTTCGCTGGCCTAGGGCATAAGAGAGGGCAAAACACTTCAAGGCTAACAAGGCAACTTTTCTTTTGTAAACTAGCTCCGCTCTGGGCAGTATCACCTGCAGTGCAGTCCGGCGGTCTTTAGCCCTAATCACCTGCTTCCCTAATTTGGTCCTTCCTGTGAAAGCAGCTTTCTGCTATAATAGTAAGTTGCGGGGCTCTTTGCCCTGTAATCTTGCTTACCTCATATACCTTCATACTGGGTGCCACAGCACCCCTATTTTGGGGCCTTTGCCCCTCCTCCCCTATTCTGGGGGCTCTGTACCCCCTCTCTACTCTGGGGCACTTCTGCACCTTCCCTATTTTTGGTACCTTTGTACTGCCCTATATTTGTGGTGCCTTTGCACCTCCCTATTCTGGGGTGCTAATTTTGTTTACTTTAACTCAGGTTTGAGCATTCTATGGCTCTGTACCTCTTTCTGCCTTGTTAACCCACTGGTACAAGTCCAGAGGACTTCTCACAGGGTGTGAACTCATGACCTTGAGATCAAGAGTCATGTGCTCTGCCAACTGAGGGAGCCAGCTAGGTGTCCTACACTGGGATTTTATTTGTGTTTTTAACTTTTTAGGGAGCTCAAGCAGGGGAGAGAGAACCTTAAGCAGGCTCCACACTCAGCACAGAACCCAACAAGGGGCTGGATTCTATGACCCTGAGATCATGACCTGGGCCGAAATCAAGAGTCTGACTCTCAGCTGGGAATTGTTAATACACAACTCAATCCATTAACCTCTGTACTGTTTGCTGCAGCCTACTGAAACGAATATGAGAAACAGAACCAGTCAGATTCCTGCAGCTGACACGTACTTGCAGCCAAGGACGTTCTCACTGCCCTCGGCTTGCCCTCAGGTCACCCCACCCTGTGCAGAGGCTCTCATGGGCTGCATCTAAAAAGGACTGACTTGAACAGTGGAACCAGAAAGCCGTTAGGTATTTGGGCTGCAGAAGGGATCCCTTGGCCAAAACACTGCAAGGGGATTGAAGAGAATGAACTCCCAAGATGGGAGGCACCAGGAGCCTGATCCAATCCTGGGACACAATCCACCAAACCTCACACAAGAAGAAAGAAATCACCTGAGCAGGCCTGTAACTATTAAAGAAAGTGAATTGATAATTAACCTTCCAAAAAGAAAGCACTAGCCTCAGTTTCACTGGTGAATTCTAGCAAACATTTTAGAAATAAATGGTAACAATTCTCTATATTCTCCTCCAGAAGACAGAAGCAGAGGGAATGCTCCCTACTTTATTCTGAGAGGCCAGCAACACCCTAATACCACAATTGGATGAAAATGTTATAGGAAGAGAAACTACAATATCTTTCATGAACACAGATGCAAAAATTCTCAACAAAATATCAGCAAATCAAACCCAATAGTGTATAAAAAACAATTGTACAGGGGCACCTGCATGGCTCAGTTGGTTAAGCCTCCGACTTTGGCTCAGGTCATGATCTCATGTTCGTGGGTTCGAGCCCCGCGTCGGGCTCTGTCCGCTCAGAGCCTGGAGCCTGCTTCAGATACTGTATCTCCGTATCTCTCTTCCTCTCTCCCTCTCATGCTCTGTCTCAAAAATAAATAAAACATTTATCAAAAACAACAAAAAAAGAATTGTACACCATCACCAAATAGGCTTCCTTCCAGGTATACAAGGCTGGCCTAACATTTGAAGGTGAGTCCATGTAATTGATCGCACCAACAGGCTAGAGAAGATGAACAGAAAAAGCGTTTGATAAAAACCCAACACTCTTCCATGATAACCACTCTCAGCAAACTAGCAAGAGAAGGGAACTTTTTCAGGATAAGTAATATTTTTAAAAACCCTAGAGCTTACATCTACATAATGGTGAGAAACTAGGTGCTTTCCCACTAAGGTTGGGAAGAAGGCAAGGACGTCCCCTCTTCACACTCCTGTTCAACATCGTCCTAACTAACGCAACAAGACCAGGAAAGGAAATTAAATGTATAGAGATTGGAAAGAAATAAATAAAATTGTCCTTATTCACAGAGGACAGGATAATCTATACACAAAGTCTCAGAAAATCAAGAAAAAGAAATCTACTTCAGGAACTAATAGGTGATTATAGATAGCAAGGTCAACAGATCCAGGTCCATATACAAAGGTCACTAGCTTTCTTGTATAACAGCAACAAACAACTGCAATTTCAAGTTAAAAACACAGTATCATTTACACTGATACCAAAATAATAAAATACTTAAGCATAAATCTGAAAGAGTATGTGCAACATCTATATGAAGAAAACTACAACACTTTGATTTTTAAAAAAATTATGTGGGGTGCCTGGGTGGCTCATTTGGTTAAACCTCACACTCCTGACTTCGGTTCAGGACATGATCTCATAGTTGGTGAGTTCTAGCCCCACATCAGGCTCAGTGCTGACAGTGCAGACCCTGCTTGGGATTCTCTCTCTCCCTCTCTCTGCCCCTTCCCCACTGGCATGTGTGCGCACGTGCTCTCTCTCTCTCAAAATAAATAAATAAACCTTACAAAAATAAAAATAGGGGCGCCTGGGGGGTTCGGTGGGTTAAGTGTCTGACTTCGGCTTAGGTCATGATCTCACTCGGGAGTTCAAGCCCCGCATCCGGCTCTGTGCTGTCAGCTCGGAGCCTGGAGCCTGCTTGGGATTCTATGTCTCCCTCTGTCTGCCCCTCCCCCACCCCCTCTCTCTCCCTGTCTCCCTCTCTCTCTCAAAATAAATAAACTTCAAAAGAAAAAAAAAAAAAACACAGCAGCAGCAAACACAAGCAGCCACCCACGCCTGGTTTCTCTGTGTAGGAAGTGCTAGTGAGGGTTTGTGTGGCTGATCTTCTGGCTCCACACCGTCCCTCCTACCGGCACCAAATCTGGTCTCTGTCCCTGCACACATTCTGGGCATTACTGGCACCAGAACCCTCTATTCAGAAAGCTGACCTTGCAACGGAGAGGTTCATTTCTAGGCTGAAAAGATCATTTTCTGGATTTCTTTTGGCAGCTAGGTATTTGGCAGCACTGAACTCTGTGCCTGTCTTTGGAGGGCCTCATTTAGAGTGAAGAATCTTGGAGGTAAGAGAAAAGTCCCAGAAAATACTGGCAGGACAAGAACAAGATCTGAAGCTAGCAACCCTGTGTTTGTTGCGAGAAAACGGAAGCCTGCTCAGCCTGCACTCCTGGCGTGAAGCCCCTGCCTGGGGACAGCTCCCCTTCTCTCCCGCCAGCCTCACCCAGCCCAGCTCCCTCTCCGGATCCTCCAGCACGGTCGCCGCCTGCTCCCCGCTGTCCGGGTGGTGCTCCCGCAGCCGGGCCCGGAGCCCGGCGGGCAGGGTGGTCAGGAGCTGCTCCGTGCTGTGCGTCTCGGGCTCGCGGAGCCGGCGCAGCGCCTCGCGCGGCCCGGGGGTCTCTGGGCAGCAAAACGGCCTGAATGAGGCTCTTCCTTCCCGCACTGAATTCTCACTTCCAAGCACGTCCACCCCTCTCCGCCTGCAGGCTCACAGCCCCCCGGGCTCCTCTGGGAACTTGGTTTCACGCCCCGCCGGACTGGCATGCACCCGCACAGAGGCGGCACACGCCGGGTCGGGGGCTTTCCCTCCGGGTGCTTTCCAGGGTGGCGCGGCAGCAGGAACCGCTCCGAACGCGACCAGCGGGGCCCCAGAGACAGGCTGACTCAGGCAACGACCCCGCAAGAGCATTAGAAAACAAATGCCAAAACTGTTTACATGCTACCAAAGACAGTTTCCGGAGTAGCGGCCCAGAGACGAGAGGCGCAGAGAGGGAGCGACGCTCGCTGCTGCTCGTCCCCGGCGGGCTCGCTCACCTGCTCCCCGGGACTGGCCGGGCGCCGCAGGTGCTAACCATTTGCACGCCCACCTCGCGCCGGGGCTGAGCTCCCCGTGTGTGCAGGCAACACCGCGGGTGCACCTCCAGGCTCTGCCCGCTGCTGACGCCCAGCGGGAGCCGGCCCGCGGCGGACGGGGCCGTGGGCTCGGGGCAGCCCCAGGGCAGGCGGGCGGGAAGGGGTGGCGAGCGAGCAGTGGACGCGGGGTCCCGGGTCCTACTAACAGGTCAGATCTCCCCCGGGGAGGACGGGGGAGCGGGAGGCGGAGTAGGGAAGGGGGCGCTGGGGCCCCTCCCGGTGCAGACGCCTCTGGGCGGGGTCGCCCGGTCGGTCCGTCCGAGTTCCCGCCGGAGGCGCTGCCCGAGAGGCGGGCAGTTTTCTTCCCTGATGGGGACAGTGCGGGGAGGGGGAGGCGACCCGGGTCCAGGCCCTGCCCCTCCCCCCACATCACGTCTCTGACGTCACAGCCCAACAGGCGGGAGCTAAGATGACAGACGGTCAGTAATTCCAAGTAACTCCGGGGCTCGACACTGGGGAAACAGGAAGGTCTCGGGTCCCGACTCTTCGGTGAGACTCACCCGGGAGCCCGGCGGGAAGGGGGCGGCCTGCCTGGAGGAGGGGTCGGTGGCCCGCCTGGAGGGGGCGTCCCGAGCAGAAGAGCGCGCCCGCACGGCCCTGACCGCCCCCACTCCCGCGGCAGCCGGGCCGAAAGTAAAGCTCAGTGGCCCCGGGTCTGGAAGAGGTGGATCCTAGAGCGGCCGGCAGGGGAAAGCCGCTCCGGGGGCCTCTCTAGGGCGCGGGCGGCCTCCGCTCTCAGTGGTGCCACAGTCGGCCTTCCGCGCCCGGAGCGCCGCGGCCCTCGCAGCGGTCAACTCTGCGCCTGTCCTTCTCCCAGCAGCACGACCCAGACCTGCAGCCCCTCTCTCTGTGCTGGGAAGAGGCATGCATCCTGCGCACTTAGCTCGTTTGATGCTGGAAATAAGGCAGGAAGCTGGGAGCTTAGCTTGTTACCAGAAATCTCCAGTCGTGCCCACTTGCCAGCCCGAGAGGAGGGCCCTGCAGCTTGACAGCTTGATGCTCTAACTCGTATTCCACGCCTCTCCGGACTCACGTGGGCTCTGAAACCTCAGCACATGTGAATTGCTTCCCCTAACTTTCAGTACATGGAGCAATGGATGACACTCCCAGAAAACGCTTGTGCGGAATTTTGACGCTTGTAAGGGAGGAAGACACAATTTTTCCTTGGCCCTTCTAAGTTCTTGGCTGGCATCCCGGTAACAAAGAAATTAACGAGGGAAAAACACAAGTTTATTAACGTGTATATCTCATGTACACGCGGGGGAGACGTAGGGAAAAATGAGTGTCTCTCAGAGGTGGCTGAGAATTCAGGCTGGAATCCCATATTCAGCTAAAGACAGAACAAAGAGCACGCAAGGGAGGCCAGGTGTGGGAGCTGGCCAGGAAAGGTATGAGCAAGAGTGAGGTTTGTTAGTGTCTTCTTGTTTCTTGTGGTTCACGGTCGACCTTTTCTTCCTCACACAGAGCAAGACATCCTTACAAAGGGTAACTTGGACTCTTTTCCGGGCTTCTCCTGTGTCTGCTGTTTCTCAAAGTAATCCTCATGCCAAACCAAGTATACTTTGTTGCCCTTCAAACCCATGCCTTATTCTGATCCCTTTCCTGATGATAATCTCTTGATTTCAAAGGAAATAACCATCTTACACCCTTTCCCTTCATAACATGTAAGGACATCTTCCCTGAGCCGTCCAGATCAGACTCTGTTCTCTAACACGTTTCTCCAGCTCAGGAACGACATTATATACTTTATTTCTAATTCCACTCTTGGATTCTTTCAACTGATAACGGACGATAGACATAGATGACCCCATCCAGCCCCAACATGGAGACTGAGCTCCTCAGTATCACAAAGTCAAGACTACAAGATTAAGCCTTCTGGGGGCGCCTGGAGGGCTTGGTCCGTAGAGTGGGACTCTTGATCTCAGAGTTGTGAGTTTGAGCCCCACCGTGGGTGTAGAGATTTTTTATGATTTAGCCCCTACTAATCACCCCAGCTTTCTTCCCCACTACATCCTTGCAGCAAACAGTTCACAAATACCACTTTGAAGTATTTTAGGTCCCTCTGGGCCTTTGTACATGTTGTTCCCTCTGCTAAACTCAGACTCCCAGAGATCCTTTTCAGGCTTTCTCTGCCTTATACTGAGGTCTTCACTTAGATAGCACTTCAAAAAAGCTTTCTCTTCGAGCTCTGCCAGCACTCGTCACGCTGTAGGAAAACCACATCCTGGGTTCCTTGCCTCAAGGAGTTTATCTTATGTTTTCTCAAGGAGCCACGTTAACATTGGGAGGTGGGGGCTCTTTGGAAGTTTCTGAAGAAAAGACATTTAACAGGGATTCCCTGTAACCTACATCATAGATAAATGCCATTTTACTTTGTACAATGAAGTGGGAGATTCTTTACGTTTTGTGAAAGTTTTTCCGAGAATAATTATCATTCCATGCAAGATTCAGAAACTGGAACATCACAGGGAGAAGTAGAGTAGACCCAGGCATGTAAGATGGGTTCTGGATAAGAAACCACATCCTCCTCCATATCCATTCCTTTGCAAGGAATTTTGAATCTCCTTTCTTCTATTTAATCTGCATTTTATTTTTCTTGTTGGAGAAGATAGGTTTGTGGAGGTGAAGAGTGCAAGAGAACTTCCAGGATTGCAGAGTTAACAGGGGCCTGGCAGAAACAGGAACGAGATAGGAGGGAGGGAATGGGAAACAGACGTGTGTGGAGTAAATTATTATTATTAGCTGAAGGTTCATCTAGTGTGAGGCTAATACCTCAAACCTCAGGGGCGCCTGGCGGCTCTGTCAGTTGAACTTCCTACTTGGGCTTAGGTCATGATTTCATGGTTCATGGGCTTGAGACCGGAGTCAGGTTCTGCTCTGACACTGTAGAGCCTGCTTGGGATTCTCTCTCTGCCCCCTCTCTGCCCCTCCCCTGCATGTTGCTTCTCTTTCTCAAAAAGTAATTAATTAATTAATTTAAAAAAGACTTCAAGCCTTAAATGACCGAATTAGATGGAATTCCTAGTCATCTTCCCTCCCTTTCTCCTTTTCTTCGTCACCACTGTTAGAGACGGCAGATAGTTAGGCTCTAACAGAATGCCTGGAGGCCAGCCAAGGGGTAGCAGTGCCTAGCTGGGGCCGGGCCTGGCAGCATTCCGCAACAAATCCACAAGAAGCCGGATCAAACCAGACAGGCCCAAGGCAAAGGAGGCTGCAAACCCTGACCAACTAACGGAGAAATGGTGGGAAAAGCTGCTCCCCAATAGTCTCCTCGGCAAGTAATAAATATTCTACCTCGCAGTCAATAAAAGATCAAATACTGTCAATAAAAGATCAAAACCCCAAGCTGAGGCACGCAGCTCTCCTTGAGCTCACGAACTCTCACATCTTGAGAGTGTGCTCAAAGTTTAATAAATGTTCCTATACTTGCACCGCTCAACCACTGTGTTTGGTCTGTCCTTAAATTACTTGTTGCAATGAGACCCAGAGCTTCCAGAAACATCCCTGGGACCAGCTGGGCAGAGGCCCAGGGCCCGGGGTCTCCCTCATGCACCTGACAACATGGCTACCTGTGTAAATGAAAATAAAGCTACCTGAAGGACTAGTATATAAAGCACCTGCATGTAACATTATGTCAGCTTTGTAGAACTGCTCGGTAAACATCTATTATTGCATACAAAAAAGGACATTGGGGTGCCTGGCTGGCTCGGTTGGTAGAAAATTAGATTCTTGATCTTGGGGTTGTAAAATTCAAGCCCTAAAATGGGTATAGAGATTCCTTTAAAACAAAAATCTTAAAAATAATTACATTGCTTGGCTAGAGAATTATTGCGAACTTGAGGGTGCTGTTTGCCGAGATGTGGTGAGATAAATGCCTATTTCCACTTTTTAACAAAGGCAGCTGGAAAACCCAATTCCATGTGAGTGGACTAGCCAGCGAAGGAGGGATGTGTTCCCTTTTGAAGGTTATGATCACATCCATCTCCACTATGAGTTATAAAACTCATAGTTTTATAGGAAAATTTTGAAGGAGTTTGAAATGGACAACACATTTCCAAGATACCTTGAGTAGGGCACCGTCTTAGCACAGCTCCTGTAGCAAAATGCCACAAACCAGGTGGCTTACCTAACCGAAGTTTCTATCTTATGGTTCCCAAAGGTGTAAAGTCCCATATCAGGGTGGTCCAAGAGGCGGGTGCTGGTGAGGGCCCCTTCCTGCGTTTGGAAGGCTGTCTTCTCACGTGGCTGAAGAGCACAGTGAGGAGGCAGCTTTCTCAGGAGTCTTTCCAAGACCCTAATCCCATTCTGGAGGGTTCTACCCTCATGACATCTTAACCGTAATTACCTTCAGCAGGTCCATGTCCTAATCCCATGACATCAGGGGTAGGGTTTCAACATA